AGTCAAGCACTTTACCATTATTTTCTCTCTTTTGCCCAGACTATGCCTCGATCCCTGTATCACAGATCCCTGTTGTTCCAAGGTTGAGTATACACTACTAATCATGTGTCTTACTGTGTCTTCTCCCATCCCTGGTAACCAACAAAGAATTTTTATTTTAGTATAGAAATCTCTTCTTAAGCTTTTACAATAATGCTCTTATGCAATCAGTCCTTTTGTGACTAATTTTACTCAACATAAAGTACTCAAGGTTCGGCCATGTTTTGCTGCTTCCTTGTTATTCTTCAAGGTAGCAATGTATTCCATTGTGTGTATGAACCAAAGTTTGTTTATCCATTCTTCAATTGATGGGCACTTAGGCTGCCTCCACCTTTTTGCTATTGTGAATAGTGCCTCAATAAACATTGGTGTGTGTATATCTACTCATGTTCTGGCTCGTATTTCTTGTGGACATATACCAAGTAGAGGAACTGCTAGATCATTAAGTATTTCTACTTCCAATTCTCTGAAGAAACACCATGCTGCTTTCCAGAGTGATTACACCAATTTACAGTCCCAGCAGCAATGCAGGAGGGTCCCAGTCTCTCCACACCCTCACCAGAATTTGTTGTCCTCTGCTTTTTTGAACTTCATTGTTATTGCTGGTGTGAGATGATATCTCATTGTTTTGATTTGCATCACTCTAATGGCTAATGATCATGTTGGCTGCCTGAATGTTTTCCTTGGTGAAGTGTCTGTTCCTGACCTGTACCTATTTTTTAACGGTTATTTGTCTTTTTCTTAAAGAGGTGCTGTAGCTTCCTGTAGATTTTAGAGATCAGTCCTTTGTCTGATACATCATTGTGAACATTTTTTCCCCCAGTCTGTGGGCTCCCTTTTTACTCATTTGATGAAACCTTTTGATGCACATAAATTTCAATTTTTATTTTGTCCCAGTCATTTATTACATCTTTTGTTTGTGTGATTTTTGCAATGTTTGATACTTTATGTGTCCCTTTATTAGAGCCCTTAAATTTGTCCCTATTTTTTTCATTAATTGCCTTTGTAGTTTTTGTATGTGGTGTGAGATAAAGGTCTTGTTTCATTCTTTTGCATACCGAGTTCCAGTTTTACCAGCAATCATCTGCTGAAGAGAAAACCTCCTCCCCCATTCAGTGTAATTTGGCCCCTTTTCAAAGATTAGTTGGCTATATGTGGATGGGTTAACTTCTGGGTTCTCAACTCTGTTCTATTGATCTATGTATCTTTCATTGTACCAATACCATGATTTTTTTAAAATGTTTTATTGTGAATTATATGATAGTTTACATGAGAGAACTTTAGTTTTACATTCATTCCATCTTGTATTGTTTCATTGCCATGGTTCCAATCTCCTCCATGCATCATCAACCGACCAAAGGGTACATATATCCTACAAACCTGCCCCCTACATTTCCCTCTCCCCCCCAGTCTTCAGCACACAGTCCCTCTCTCTCTCTGGATCCAAAGTCCCCAGCCACTTCATCACTCCACGTCATCGTCTCTGTCTCTATCTCAGGCGTCTCTGCTTCTCTGGGTAGGGTCCTGCTCTCGGCTGTTCTCTGTTGATGGTCCTAGAGACCTCCGCTCCTAGACTGGAGAATTAGGCACTCCCTTCCTTGCTACAAAACGTCTACCTTTATATTTCCAACCCTCATAATCAGTCCTGATAACAATTATTCACTAAGGTATCACAAGTGACCCATCTGTATTTTATTTCATCAGCTCCGCCTAGACAGATTGGCTACTACTCACTGGAGATTCTGCCTTCCTCCATGCCCCCTAGCTCTAGATTCCCTCTTAAAAGCTTATAAGCCAGTCACTTCTTGCCTTTGTAGTCCCCCCTCCCCCCCATTTGGGTATCCAATGTCTAAGTTGCCCATCTCTGTCTACTCTGTGTGTGGAGGGGGTGGGACTGTTTCTTCTTGTAAGAATTTGTTCCCTCTTTTGAGTCACTGCATCAGTCGGTGTAGGTCAAGTCCATCAAATTGTATCAGTGTGTGGTCACCAATCAGACCATGATGTTTTAATCACTAGCCATCTAGTAAATTTTGAAACCAGGAAGTGAGAGGCCTCCAACTTTGTTCTTCAGCAATGCTTTGCTTATCCAAGGACTTTTTCCCATCCATACAAATTTGTAATTGTTTTTTTCCATCTCTTTAAAGAATATTGTTGGAATCTGGATTGGGATTGCATTATATCTGTTGATTGCGTTGGGTAGTATTGACATTATTCCCTCTTTTTACTTTATTGTTTTGTTGTTGCAACTGTAACTCTGGTTCTTGATTTCCAGTCTCTTAGGTCTGTTTTACTTTGAATACTTCCACATCTGGCTTGAATTCTGGGTGGTTTTGTCATGTATGTTAGTCTCAGGTTGTTGTCTGCTGTTGTTGGTTTTCTGTTCAGAGAACCCTTTTTAAGGCTGATCTGTTTTCTACAAATTCTTTTAATTTCTGTTTGTCTGAAAAAATGACCTAATTTTCCCATCATATTTAATGGACAATTTTGGTTCTTGGTTGGCAATTTTTTTCTTTCAGAGTTTTATATTTGCCATCCCATTGCCTACTTGCGTGCAGGGTTTTCCTTTATAGGTAACTTTTCATTTTTCCTGAGCTGCTTTCAGAATTCTTTCTTTGTCTTTGAAAAGTTTGATTGTAATATATAGTATCTCTTAGTGTTTGTGGTTCATTCAACTGTTTGGAGGTCATTCAACTTCTTGAATAGCTTTCTTCTGACCTTTCATGATGTTAGGGAAATTTTCTACTAACAACTCTTAGACAATATTCTCTCTCTCTCTGTTTTTTTTTTTTTTTTTCTTTCTTTCTGTTTTGGAATTCCAGTCACACGTTATTCCTCTTGATAGTATCCCACATAAATATTTGACTTTATTTTGATTTTAAAAATTCTTATATCTGACTGTTCCTCTAGCGGGTGAGATTTTTTTTTTTTTGTCGTCAAGCTCAGTATTTCGACCTCACATTGATTCGCTCTTACTTCTTTACTCTTTCAATAGATTATCTATTGCTGAAGTCTTACTGTTAATCATCTGACTTTCTAATCACTACTTTTTATTGTTTTTCAAGTTTGTTTCCTGAATTCTTCTACAATTTTGACTTTTTTTCTTGATTTAATCTGCAGTGTACTTGACCATTCCTCAATCCGTTGAAGTAACATTCTTTCTCATTTCTTTTCAAATGGTTCTGATATCATTTCTGCTATAGTTTCTGCCTATATTTTGGTGACCTGTGTGAGATACTGTTTTATTTCTTGGTGTAAACTGAAATTGTCTATTTTCTCTGAGACATTGTGGTATCCTGTTGTTGTTAGGTGCCATCGAGTCAGTAACGACCCATAGCGACCTTATGCACAGCAGAATGAAACACTGTCTGATCCTGGGCCAACTTCACTACTGTTGCCACACTTGAGTCCATCAATGCTGCCACTTGGCAAATTCATCTCATTGGGGGTCTTCCTCTCTTTCTCTGTCCCACTGCCTTACCAAACATGATATCCTTCTCCAGCGACTGGTCCCTCTTGACAATATGTCCAAAGTATGAGAGACGAAGTTTGGCCATCTTGGCCTCCAAGGAGCACTCTGGCTGCAGTCATATTTAATCGATGACTGTATTGGTGTGTTGTCAGATACTTACCAGCAGTCTCCTGGTAAATATGGCAGAGATAGAAGTTGTAAATACAGTTTTCTGTTCACTATTGGTGTAGTGTAGGCCAGGGTGAGTTCATATGTCTCCAGAAAAGGTGTGCTATGCTCAGTGCCCAACCCTAGGTAGAAATGAGACTTTGTAGGGGGTGGCGGGCTGCCACTGGCTTCTGGGTTGGCAGGGGTCAAGGCTGGTCACATCTCTGGCTGACAGGAGGGCATGGGAGCAAGGGAGAACTGCAGCCTTCTTGCCGCCAACTTCTTGTTCTTGTAGGTGGCTGTATTATCTACAGCCACTTGCAGAAACTCCTGACAAGCCTACAGTCCACCCAATTTTCTCTTTCTCACTGCTCCTGTGTGGCTTCCTCTTCCAGTGTGCACTCAGTTCATCTCTCTGTCCTGTCCTCTGAAGTGTTCCCGGACCACCCTGTGTAGCTGTTTCACACTATCTTTGTTGCAGAGCATCTGCTCAATGCGTCCTACTCTGCCATCTTACCCCCTAATTTTTTCTAAATGTGTGAATTTCAATATTTTGTTTTTATATTAAATTCTATGCTGAGGGTTTCATTCAATAAGTATGTACCTAGTGTTTTGGAATTGGAACTATTCTGAGAATAACCCAAACCAGTTGCTATCAAGTGTATAAGACATCCTGGTGGTACAGTGGTTAAGCACTTGGCTACTAATAAAAAGGTTGAAGATATGAATCTACCAACCACTTTTAAGGAGAAAGATGTGGCAATCTGCCTCTGTAAAGATGAATAACCTTGGAAACTCTATGGGGCAGTTTTCCTGAACTTTAAAGTAACAGTTTTGTTTATTTTTGGGTTGTCAAGTCTATTCTATCTCATGGCAATCCCATGTCTCAGAGTACAATACCCTCCATAGAGTTTTCGAGGGTGTGGCCTTTCAGAAGCAGAAGCACATTACCAGACCTTTCTTCCGACGCACCTCTGGCTGAGTTCAAGCCACCAACCTTTCTGTTGGTAGACTAACAATCATGCACAGCCTCCAGGGACTTCTATTCTGGGGATACAATTTATTTACCTCCCTTTCTCACCTTGAGGTATTTGTCACTTCCAGTTAGCAGTCCAGTACCTAACCCACAGTAAACAGCTCAATAAAAATTTTAATTAATAAATTTTGTAACATCTGTATCTCTGAAAGTCCCACCTCTAAATAGAGTTCCCTAACAGCAAATAACTTCCACAAACACCTTTGACTAGGTTGGGGAAATAAGGACTAGATGGGGAGAAGTTGTGCTCATGGGGCTTTTGTGGCAGCTGTGGAGGTGGGAGTTAATGCCTGTGTCTTCTCCATTTAGTGCAGCCCCTGGAAGAAAAACTCATGCTGCAACACAAACATCAGCCAGGAAGCCCACAAGGACATTTCATATCTGTACAGATTCAACTGGGACCACTGTGGAAAGATGAACGCTGAATGCAAGCAGCACTTCATCCAGGACACCTGCTTCTATGAGTGCTCCCCCAACTTGGGGCCTTGGATCCAACAGGTACAAGTGTCCTCCCTAGCACCTAACCCAGCAGAGGAGCAGAGCTTTCCAAACATCTCTGCAGGCTGCTCCCCTGCCCTCCCTCCATCTCCAGTTCTAATTGCTTCTCTGTTGAGATTTTTAAGCCTGAGCTCTTCTTCTCTACCAATGCTCTCCAGGTGGACCAGAGCTGGCGCAAAGAGCGGGTCTTGGATGTGCCCCTGTGCAAAGAGGACTGTCAGCGCTGGTGGGAGGACTGCCGCACCTCCTACACCTGTAAGACCAACTGGCACAAGGGCTGGAACTGGACCTCAGGTGAGGTGGAGGTGAAGGGCTATGGCGTGGGTCTGTATTTGGGGGTTTGAGGGCTGGTGGAACCAGAGGTAGTTCTGGGCCCAGTGGCTGAAAATCTTTCATCCTCCCTACAGGACATAACCAGTGCCCAGTAGGAACTACTTGCCAACGCTTTGATTTCTACTTCCCCACACCTGCTGCCATGTGTGATTTAATCTGGAGTCACTCCTACAAGACCAGCAACTACAGTCGTGGGAGTGGCCGCTGCATGCAAATGTGGTTTGACCCTGCCCAGGGCAATCCCAATGAGAAGGTGGCAGAATTCTATGCTGAGGCTATGAGTGGAGCTGAGACCCACTGGGTCCTGGCCTGTCCTCTCCTGCTCAGCCAGGTCCTGCTGTTCTGGCTGCTCAGCTGATCCTTTCTACCTCTGATACCTGGACATCACAGCCCTGTTCAGCCCCAGAGTGCCCAGTTACTCAGTTTGTGCTCCACAGGAGGGCCCTCTGAATGCCAGTTTAAATAAACAGACAGCCCCACATGTGTCTTGTGAATTATTAGGCGTGGCTGGGGATGCCACTGTTTTGTTTCCCAATTCCCATTTATAAAAGACTTGGCAAATTCTCAAGCTCTGACACTTTGCTGTGAACCTAGGACACATTCATAGCCCTTACTTGTTTTTTCACAAGATCTCCAATCTAGAACCATAACCAGAATTTTACCATTTAAATGGGTCCCAAGCTTCTCAGTGTTGCCTTCTCTACAAGAGAAGAGAGAGGAATGGGGGTGCCCAGCATATTCTAGATGGATAACTGGGAAGCTGTTAAGGGGACTAGAAAGTACTCTTTCCCACTAACAGCTACAAAGTACTATCTGTCACGAATTGTTCTAAATATGTGAAAACAGGCACATAAATTAAAGACTCTGGCTGAAGTCATCTCCCCCATAAGAGGTTGGATTGCACCCCATGCAGTCAGGCTCTTGAGAGTAAGCTCTCTCCCCTTGTGGAGTGTGTGTTCAAGGAATACTGGGTCCCTGCCTGAGTAGGAGTTGGGCCTGAGCTGGTTTCCTGTAGAGCTAGGTCTAGAAGCCAAACCTAGACTTCTAGAGCAGATTCTAAACCAATGATTTGGAAGGCTTTTTTTTAAGGTGTTGCTCCCACATTAAGTATACTTTGTAGCAGTTTAAATATGGTGAATTATGTTACAGTAGTATCTCAGTGGCTTATTTTAAGCATTTTTATTTTTTGTGCAAGCTAAACATTTATTGCTTGTTGTGTATATGTAGGGTGGATTTTGTCTCTCATTCATGATTCAGGTTTATGGGGGATCCATTTTGTCACACACTTCCATGAAACAAATAGCTATAGGGCATTTTCCCTTGCAATAGTGGCACCTAGGGGATTTTATAAATCCTAATTTCTATGGGGTTTATAAGGCAAAGAATTCTAAGGCATATAGTATCTGGCTCCACCACGATCTCATCTGCAACAAACCCTATTCCACCATGAATTTTGAGGGCTTGGTCAAAACAAAATGGAATCAAAGAGCCTGGTTTTGGTGTCAATGGTGACACTGTGAGTAGAGATATTTTGGAGAATGTGTTACTGACCAAATATTTTTTTTGGAGAGCATTTATTCCAGTTGGCACAAGTCTAGTCTGCTAAATTGAGGGTTAGAGACCAAAGCCAGAGCAAAGAAAAAGGACTGCATCATATGACTAATGAAAGAAAAAGAACATGAAGTACATTACCCAAAATACCAAAACAGGAACCACAATCAATATTCCTAAAAAAATTTTACTCATTCCTTTAAAATTATTTCTGGTCTCATGCTTGTGGCTTCTCTTCATTGAAGCCTTCCATTTTGTGGTGGTGGTGGGGCTAGAAGTCCACATTGGGACTGGAATTTTTCTGGAAATCTCAAATCACAGGGCTCTGATAGATTGAAACATTCAAGTGCTAGTTTGTGGTAGTGATGTCAAACCCATGCATCTATTTCTGGTGAGTACATCATGGCAAGGGTCTATAGGCAAATAAGATGGGAATAGAAACTACCTGTTGACAGTTCCAATGGTCTGGGCAATCTAATACAGCAACTGACAATGTCAAAATGAAAGAAAATTTTCACTAGAGTGTAATATATAAGAGCACAGACCTACTGGTAACTGGTTTCATCATCTCAATTGATATTTAATTTTTTTTGTGGCAAATACATAGATAACAAGACATTTGCCATTACCACAATCTTCACATACATATTCAGTGACATAATTATGTTCATCCATCACAATTAAACATTCTAAACTTTTCAATCACCCTTAACTTGTTTTTGAACATTCCATTTATCCTCTCTTCTTTGTCTAATCTCTATGTGTAATATGGGCAGTGAACATACCGAATCTTGAGAGTCTCATTTATTTTGATTATTTTAAACCAAGGAATAAAATCATCTTGGAAATAAATTTGTTTATGGTCATAATGAAAGCCCTTGCATACAAACACAGGTGAGCATTTACCCATTCAGGAATATGCACGATCACTGATGCTTAATGTTATGTGTCAACTTAGGTAGACCTTGATTCCAAGTATTATGTAAGCACTGTCATTTTTATAATCTGATGCAATTATACTCCAATTTGTCATATTTAATTGTCCTTCGCTTTATGTGTTGCAAATTCTAACCTCTATATGTTAATTAGGCAGGATTAATGTTGTTAGATGCCATTGAATCTGTTCCGACTTATAGCAATCTTTTGCACACCAGAATGAAATACTGCTCAGTCTGCACCAACCTCACAATCATTGTTACATTTGAGTCCACTGCTGTTGCCACTAAGCCAATCAATTTAACTGGGGTTTCCCTCTTTTTTGATGACCTTCTGCTTTATCAAGCATGATGTTCTTTTCCAGGGACTGGTCCCTCCTAAAATATATCCAAAGTATGAGAGGTGAAGTTTGGCCATTTTGGCTTCTAAGAAGAATTCTGGTTGTCCTTCTTCCAAGATACATTTGTTTCTTCTGGCAGTCCATGGTAATTTTAATATCCTTTTCTAACACCATAACTCAAGTGCATCAATTTTTCTAGTCTTATTTGCTGTCCAAATTTCACATGCATATGAGATTACTGAAAATAATATGGTTTGGGTCAGGCATACCTTAGTCCTCAAAACTGAACTAGAGATATCATTGCTGACTTAATATGGATCTTGGGAGAAAGATGTTGACTTGTGCTTTACAGACTATGCAAAGGCTTTTGACTATGTGGATCATGACAAGCTATGGATAACATTGTAAAGAATGGGTATTCCAGAACACTTGAGTGTACTCATGAGAAGCTTGTACATAGACCCAAGAGGCAGTTGTTAGAACAGAACAAGGGAATACTGAATGGTTTAAAATCTGGAAAGGTGTGCACCAGGGCTGTATTCTTTCACCACACTTATTCAATCTGCATGCTGAGTAAATAATCTGAGAAACTGGTTTATATGAAAAAGGGTATGGCATTAAGATTGCAGGAAGAGTTACTAAAAACCTGTGATACGAAAATGATATAACCTTGCTCGCTGAAAGCGAAGAGGGCTTAAAATACTTAGAGATGAAGATCAAAGACCACAGCCTTCAGTATGGGTTGCAACTCAATGTAAAGGAAACAAAAATCCTCACAACTGGACCAATAGGAAACATCATGATAAATGGAGAAAAGATTGAAGTTGTCAAAGACTTCATTTTGCTTGGCTCCATAATCAACATTGAATGAAGCAGCAGTCAAGAACTCAAACAATATTTAATTAGGCAAATCTGCTGCACAAGACCTCTGTTCCAAGTGTTCAAGAGCAAAGATGTCAGTTTGAGAACTAAGGTATGCCTGACCCAAATCATTCAATAGCCTCATACGCATGTGATAGATTCCTGGCGTGGTGCTGTAGGATGAGCACTGGACTGTGAACCACGAGTTTTTCAGTTCAAACCCAACAGCTGCTCTCAGGAAACCCTATACAGGGTCGCTATGAGTTGGAACTGACTCGGTGGCACTTAAAAACAACATATGCAGTTGGTGGTGCATAAGGTAGACAGTAGAATTAATGCATTTGATTTATGTTGTTAGAGATGAACATTGGAAGTACTGGGGATTACTAGAACAAATTAATCTGTGTTGGAAGAAATAACAATTTGTATGATTTATAGCCACTTTATGCACAGCAGAATGAAACACTGCCTGATCCTGGGCCAACGTCACTATTGTTGCCATGCTTGAGCCCACGGATGCTGCCACTTTGACAATCCATCTTGCTGGAGGTCTTCCTCTTTTTCTCTGACCCTCCACCCTACCAAGAAGGTCTGGTAGTATAGTGGTTACGACTCTGGCTGCAAACCGCAAGGTCAGCAGTTCGAAACCACCAGCTGCTCCACAGGAGAAAGATGAGGCGTTCTGCTCCCGTAAAGATTTACAGTCCCGGAAACCCTGTACAGGGTCGCTATGAGTCGGAACTGACTCCACAGCACACAGCAACCACCACCACACTATCAAACACGATATCCTTCTCCAACAACGGGTCCCTCCTGACAGTATGTCCGAAGGATGAGAGATGAAGTTTGGCCATCCTAGCCTCCAAGGAGCACTCTGGCTGCACTTCTTCCAACACAGATCCGTTGGTTCTTGGGCAGCCCATGGCACTTTCAATATTCTCCTCCACTATAACTCAAAAGCATCAGTTATTCTACAGTCTTCCTTATTCCAGCTTTCACATGTATATGAGGTTATTGAAAATACCATGGCTTGGGTCAGGCACACCTTAGTCCTCAAGGTGAAATCTTCGCTCTTCAACACTTTAAAAACATCTTGTGCAGAAGATTTGCCTAATGCAATATGTTGTTTGATTTCTTG